CAAAATGGCCCTATATTCGCATCGACTTGAGAATTCTCATAGTCCTTTACTTCACCAGGATTTGAATAGTCCTCTTAGCCAAGATTGAAAGGATGTCAATCTCCCACTCTCAGTCTGGTATTCGAGAAGGAGCACTACCTAACTGAAATATCTCACTACGAAACTTCAATATAGAACTTCTAAACCAACAGACCCTGAACTCGGGTAGTTGCCTTCCCTTCCTAGTCCTAGATCCGAGTTACTAGCTTTCTAGACCGACGGTTGTAGGCCTCCCTCAGGTCGGCTTTAGTCGAGCTCCCCAACTCGCTCGACGGTACGACCTCTCCGACTAATAGACTTGATACCGTTCCGTTCCGCTCATGCTCCTTGAGAGGAAAGAAAGAGCTCGACTGTTAAGGAGAGGAAGCACTCCCTCCACTACCCCGCAAATCTAATGATGGACATGCAAGCAGTCCCGCTTATGTGAAGGCTTAGCCAAGTTTGAAGCCTCTCGAATGACTCAGCTAGTTTACTAGACCCTCTATCCGACCCCCTATCAAGTAAGGAGAGCTAGGTTGTATGACTTCCTGCCGGTCTTTGAAGCTATTAACTAATCTCTAGGGCAAGTAGGACTAGTCTTTATGGCCCTATTGATTTAGGAGTTGTTGCAACACTGGTTGTTGACGGTTGTTAGCGAGGTACGAGCAGGAGAGTGGCTAATGTCCCTCAGCCCTTGAAAGCCATTAACTAACCTTAAGAGCAATTATGGCTGGTCTCTCTCTTGGGTTAGCCCGCTTCTCTCTTTTAGGAGGAGGGAGACGACTCTGCTAATTCTTTATCAGTATGCTTAGGAAGCAAGGTTTTTAGGGCCTGGAAGGAGGGGAAGCTCTTCTTGGACTAGGAGGGGAAGGGATGGTTGTATGGCATCTATGAAAGCATTGACAACATTTCTCCTTCGATATTGCGAAGGCAAGACGCTCTATTGGCTTAGGTTTAGTTGGTACAAAATCAAGTTCAAAATGGATAGGAGAAATTTGATTGACTGATGGTACAATGTACTTTTGTACAAAGTCACTTCTCAATTCGTATTTGGTATACGAAAGTGCGGAAGGCAAGCCCTTCTATCTGACTTTGGCTTCTCAATTGCATATACCAAAAGACTGTGCCAAAAGAATTGCTACCTTTCTGTTCGATATTGAATTGACCTAGACATCGAGATTTCATATACCAAAAGAATTGTACATCGCTAGGAAGACTGGTCGTTCTTCCCCTTTCAGTCTATTAATAGCTCTAGGCAACTACCTAACGGACTAAGAAGAAGCCCAAAGAAAGAGTCTTCTTACAGGTTAGTTGATAGCTTTCCAGTGTGACCTCTGATCTTCCTTGCTCCTCAAGGAGGAAATCGATAGCCTTTAAGATAAGAGGCTAGCTCCTGTCTTGGTTGGGACAGCTAGCTTATTGGTCCACTGCCTCCCCAGCTAAGCAAGAACGCAAGAAAGCCTTCTCGCAAGCAAGCAAGAAGGAAGGCTTTTAAGATGGAAAGCCCCTATTGAGTAAGATTGCTCGCTAGTTGCCATCAGTTCAATCACTGAAATCAGTCTCATTTCACCATTAGGGAGAATCCACTTTATCCATTTCAATCTCTGTCATCGAAGGAAAAAGGGCTAGCATCATTTCTCCATTGGGGAGAGACCACTTTTGAAATGAAAGATCAACTCTTCGAAGGGAAAAGCTTCAGTGTGAAATTACAGCTATATTGGCATCGACTATGTCTCTCATCGGTTCTCCAGCATGCGAGTTCATTCAGTATCGAAGTCAGCTAGCCTTCATTCAATCAAGGCAAGTTCAATGGGATCTCCCTTGTCTCTCAGTCTCAGTTGCAATACTTGTACATGAAAGGCAGTGAAATACCATTCAATAGAAAGAGGATTGAATATCTCACTTCAATACCGATCTATCGAACTGTATACCTTCAATATCGAACTTCTCCGAGCAGTTCTAATGCCATACCGATGGAATTCCTATCCAGTAGTAAACTTCGACAGCAAGGACCGTTTCACTTGTCTAGATGGCCACATCTAAACTTGTACTTATATGCAATACCGAAATAAGTCGGGTAGTGCCCGCGATGGACTTGCCTTTCCGGCTAAGTACTTGACTTCAAAGACAGCTAGCTAGTTTCATTCAAGAAAGAGGATTTGTACCAAAAGAACAGGCTTTCTACCCCTTCTAGCGAGTTATTAGCATCTGGGAGTTCTAGCGACTGACTTGCCCGCATCTCTTGCCTTAAAGGTTTCACTGCTCTAACTAGGGTATCCCGCAGAAAGAAGTCAACTAGAAGGCAAAATCCACCTAGTCAAAATGGCAGTGACGGACTAATGTACTTGAGCCTATTTTCTCGATCGAGAAATGGCATTCTTTTATGCGCTTTCTCGCTAACAAGCCAAGCAGTCCCTAGCGGGCTATCCGTCATTAACTCGAAGAAGTGCAACAAGACCAGTATCGAACTGGGATTGCCTCTCTTTCAATCTTCGGAAGTTACTTTGTATCCCTTTCTAATGCAATATCTTCAATCAGATCTGTACGAGTGACAGGAAGAAGTCAGCTAGTTGCCATCCGCTCTGTCCCAATCTCCGGTCAATGATTGAGTCCGAACTCACCTAAAACGGCGTAGAAGGGCAAATCTACCTAGTCAAAACTCTTGTTTAGAGGAGCCCCTGAAATTTTGAAAGCTTCCTCGCCTTCACCCTATGAGTTCAGGGTGCTTTCCTGGCTCGCCTTCACTCATATCATAGGGTTGTGTTCAGTACGATCTTTAGCCTTTCTTCGTAAGATCCTGAGAACTGAAATGCCTAAAGACGGTGCTCAAGTCAGAAATGCGATCTTCTAGGGCAGGAATTCTTATATGCTAATTGCCTGAAATCCCTCTCATTTTGTCAATAAGGGAGAGGTTGGGAGATAGCTCTTAGCCTGTTGGTTGCTTGCCTGTGACTTGACTTCCTCGTACTCCTTCTCCTAGAAAGCGACTTCTTTCATTCCTCGACAGCTAGGTCTTTGCCGACTCTTAGCTTTCCAGGCGGGTTGGTGTTCAACCTTCATTCAATAGGGCTATCTATCCGAAAGGTCTTAATAAAAGAATCCCTGTAATAGAAGTTCATTCCTTAAAGACCTTCCTAATCAGTAATTTGATGGTCTTCCGTAAAGACTTTCATGCGCACCTTCCTTCATAAGGACAGGTAACCAGGCGGGTGACTCACTCGTAGGTAGCACTCTCCGATGCTTTGACTCCTTCTTTTAGTAGTTCCTTTGAAGCTAGTAACTAGAATATAGGACCCGGAAGGCGGGCTCTTATTGCTCAAACCGGAGCGGTTGTAGAGTTTAGAAATCTCATTTGAGGGGATGCCTCTAGCAACAAGCCCCTCAGGGGCGGTAGTCTCCCTCCTCAGGTCGGTCGACGGTAGTCTCCCTAACGGTCGACAGGTAGCACTTCTCCGACTAAAAGAGAGCTTCCAAGCAGGAGAGGAGCGAAAAGCCTCTCGCTTTCAAGTCGAAGGCGGGAGATGAGCGGAAAGTCTTCAAACTCTTCCCACTACTGTCAAAACTCTCGGATCTCTTTCCCTGAAGCCTCCTATCAAGTAAGGCGTGTAAGTCAACTTTCTATTGAATGGGCGAGGAGGGCAACTACTGAAGGGCGATCTCGGCTGAAAGCAAGCTTGATTAGGGGTAAGGCAACAGGGCTTAGTACGAAGACTAGGAATGGGATCGATCGGAGAGACTTCTTTGATCTTTTACCTTATTATAGTAATTCAGTGCTACCGAATCGCCTTCTAGACAAGGATAGTGAAATAGGATCCATCGCCTTGGAATAGGATCAAAGAGGATAGAGTGAGTGGAATATGTAGGCGGTGGTAAACTCCTCTTTTCGGTAGTAGAAGGGAAGCTCGTCCTCTTATTGTTTGTGTCAATACTCAACTTCGTCAGTCTGGTTGAACAGCCTCCCAATGAGAGCGAGCCAAGACTTTGCTTGCTGTTTGTGTTTGTCCGCCACGACTGCTCAACCAACTGCTAAATCATGGGTTCTAATCCCATTTCCTCCGGAAACAACCCTTGGCAACCCGATATTTAAGGAAGCACAGCTAACCTAAGCGGGGGCAGAATCAATGACCCAAGGTTTGGGAGTCAAGGAACTGGAAGACAGACACGCGGTGGACTGACCTCTTTAGGCAAGAGAGGCAGTAGGAAGAGAGCCATTAGAAAAGAAAGAAATTCAAAATGTTCCTGATGGAAGTGGCCATGGGTAGCTAAAGTGTCTGCACTTTGATTCCCTTCCCTGTAGATATGAGAGATGGACATGGAAGGAAGTAAGAAAGTTTTTAAAGATCTGATCATATAAGGGACTGTCCAAGGGACTGCACCTCCACAGATGCTATCAAAAATGATTTTTTCTCACTCTCCACTGCTACTTTGGAGTAGCCTAATCTGTAACAAAGCATCAGACCAAAAAGGGGAGCTCTGGCTTCTGCAAATGTGTTGGTACCTGGGCCATAAAAGGTAGAAAAAGCAACCAAAGCGGAGCCCTTATAGTCCCTAATAATGCC